TCATGTCAATTGACGAGCTTTCCTTGAAGAGACACATTTTGTAAACCTTACAGTTATCTTATGCGCAGTAAACTGGTAAGTCATTATAGCTAATCGATAGACGTACCAATGGATTAGTATAGAACTATCAGAAGCCTTGTCATGTGCGACCTTGCTTCACCTTTTCAACTATGTTTTTCTGGAAAAAAATATTTTTTATCTCTCTATAGAATTATATAAAATAATATAAAAAAGTAATTTTATGCATAGAAAGATGTGCTTCCTATCATATATAACGTAATGGTTTGATTAATTGAGATTAAGAACGGTTCTAAGAAAATGGATTCTTCAAGGAAATTTAGGTACATTTAATATGCATCTCTCGTAAAGAAACCTCGTTATACTCTCGACTTCTAGAATTTTTAAATTGCAATATTGAAAGTTAAGTTTTAAAAAATTTGCTAATTTCGAACATATCGCCTGAATATCTTCCTGATTGTATACATATATCATCATGGCCAATCTGATGTATCAGATAGTGATCATACGAATAAATCTAATTACGTTTAGCGCAATATATTTCTCTAATTTCTTGGTTAAGACGTGAAGTCGCATAGTTCGTTAGCGGCATAATTAATGTCGAGAAAAGATTAAAAACTACAGAGTAATTCGAGAATGACTTTAACTAAACGAAGAATTAAAATCATTGCAGTTAGTAAATCTGGCGCTATCTTTTCGCGCGAATTTTTTTTTATTTCTTTTTTTTGAAAAAAATATATATTATTCTATCTAGGATACGATATGCCTCTCACGGATACTATATTTTGATATAGATATACGACAGGGTCGTCCTCGTGTTCTCCGATGCCGCTACTGTTATACCGCTGATATCCGGAATAAAAGCAACGGTTCTAAAAAGCGGTTTCACGCGGATGCTACCGGATCATTTTTGCGCGACTGACTTTATCGACTTCGTCCATTCAATAACGGAACGGAAAAATATCTATGTCTATATATGACTACCACGCAGCAAAGAAACGAAATAATATTCCAAATGGAAATACAGAGGTAACAAAATAAATATCCACGCGAGAAAAAAATAACTTTTCTGTACAAAAATGTGTGACGCACACACTTTTATATCTTATTTATTTCGTTATATTTGTTTGTGTTTTAAAGGCGAGAATGTAGTGCCAAAATATAGAAACACAATATAGCGGATAAGTAAAACACTTGAAAATTCCACTTATAAGAAAAGAAAGATTATATACGCTTCATGTTTCACCACATTATCTTTTATGCGGTGAAATGCGTCGTTAAGCAGAAGCGCCCGCAAATGATGGTGGAATTTATGTCGCACGCATTTGCACACCGGGTGGAAACATTATTCTACTTATAAAGGAAAGCACGCGACAATAATGCACGGGATGCAAAATATCGCGGTGTTAGTTTTCCCGCTGCGAGACAATAAATAGCTTGTTTTGTTAAACAACGCGAATTTTCTTTCTTTCTATCTTTGGATCCCTCCGGAATTTTTCAATTCGCAGTTCAACGTCGAGAGTTCTAACGAAAAGTAAAATTAGATTTAAATCCATTCATTTCGCACATTTTCCGTATTCAAACGTCTATACACAGAAAAGTTAAAAAGGATGATTGAATTTTCATCTCCAGAAATGAAAAATATATAAATTTATGTAGCCATTCGTCATACATAGGTACATCTGAAAAAAAAATTTACTCGCCGTGACATACAAGGAGTGTCCTAGATTTCAATACCCTCTTTTTACAGGGTGAGCTATGTGACAGTAAAAAAAAATTTGGAACCAATTCCAGAACGTCGGATTTTTTTATTTCGCGATATTTCTCTCTCGCGATTTCATTGATTTCAAGTGGCTTTGGATCGTTGTCAAATCGCGACTCGAGTTTTTTTTTTTTTTTTTTTTACTAAAGTATCCGCAGCGCGGGTTATTAATACAAAGAAAAAGAATTCAACCGACCGCGCATTGTGTTCTGAGAAATCTTTATATTTATGCAGGTTTATATATTGGAGAGAGAGGCGAAAGTAGCAGTAAAAAGTAGCAGTTAACGCAACGATACCGTGAACGAAGTCACGCGAGGCGTATACCTGGCTGTTCGTTTTCAGCTGCTAAATCGCAGAATGTCAGTGCAAAAACACACGAAATAACTTGTAAGATCTGAATCTTCAACGTATTACAGATTACAGATTGTTTTAACGGTAGTAAACTACATCCGGTTAATTCATCTAATGAGTATCGACGCATCAGAATATATATGGATATACCACATTTACGTAACCCACATTTACAGCATTGTCACATATGTAATTACAACATCGTTAGTAATTACCTTATCCGCACGAGGAAACACTTGTGCCTCGAACGTTTGTTGAATGGAGTATTATTCGGAACCGCTGTTTTACGATCAATACGGCTGATTAATATAGTTTCCTTCCGGCTAGCCTCATTAATAAAATAAAACATCACGACAGATATTGAGAAGAAATAATATCTTTCATTTTTTTTTTTTTTTTTTATTATTTCGAATTATTTCGCAATAAAATTTGCGGCGCAGTTATTAAATTATGAAACAATGAAAAATTTTGCTAAATAATTGGAAATAATTGAAAAATTAATATGAATAAAGATAATATTTTTTTAAATATCTACTGCAAGTTTTTTTATCAAAATATATCAAATATTATATCAAATTTAATAATTTTTCAAATATTATTTAATAATTATACATAAATATTATATTATATATAAATATTATGCACATCTACATATATTGAAATATATTTATATTTAATTAAAATATATAAGTAATCCCTACACGGAGAGAATTTCTCTGAAAATCATGGTAATTGTGGAATAATGATATATTGGAAAAATGTTAAAAGAGTTTCTCTAATTAATATTTATCACAATAAAAAATATTAATATGTACATGGTAAAATTAATCGAACATATTTTATATCTCATTGTCGTAGATATTAATATTTTTTATTATGACAAATATTAATCAGAGAAACTTTTAAAATTCTTCCAATACTATATTGTCTACATACGATTAAATTTATTTGATCGAAGTCAATAAAATTTTTCCAAAATATAATTACCTCTCTTTACATTTCGGATATCATATCCTTCCCCGTGTATTTATGATAATATATACGTACAGTTGATTTCACAAACTCTTATATGTATGCATATTCGTTTCACTGGCCGCATATGTTATCCAGCTTAAGATCAACGCTTTAGATGCGTTAAAGCTCCTCGGACTGTTTTCGAGCTGGAGGAGACTATCTAAAGCCGAACGAGAGCTTCCGGCTTGGTTCAACGAAGTTTTAATGGTTCATCAGAAAAAGCAAACTTTGCGCGTCCCCGCTAAATATAGATCTCGACTATGGCGGGCCATTACGCGTTCGCAAATTCCATACAAGCTCGTCCCCGCCATAAGAGAATCCTAACATGCCTCGCGCATCATCGCCAGGAATAAAGCTTTCAGTTCCCGCAATCGTGCCTTTCTCGATTATCGAATTACGAAGAATGTTTCCGGATATGCGAGATGAAATAAATGCGCGATAAAATTTTGATTCAAATTCTCCCGAAATATGCAATTGTATATAGGTACGCGTGCTTTTCCTAGAATGTCACTTTAAAATGTTTCGAAAATTCCTGCAATTTTCGACAAAAATATTATTAGACAATCGATTCCCGATTCAGCGATTTTCGGATCTATATTTTTCTCTTGCATTCATTTATTTATTTCCGTAGGGGGTTTAAAGGGGTATTGAAATTAAATCTCAAATATGAGATTATTTCATATTTAAAATCTTGGCCGTGTCCAAGTAAAAATTTGGTGCCTTGTGCACCGGTATTTAATTCTAACGAAAAATTATTTAGTTTCGTTAGGATAACGCATTGTCATCCGCGATTTGGCTCTTGTTGCCCGTCTTATACGTTAAATTTATTATTAGACAAGTTTTAATTTTGTTTAAAAACTATTCGATAGAGACATGGGTATATTATGCCGCATTTTCTCGTTATTTCGAAACTATACATGTATAATCGACAAGCTTTATAAACGCTTTTGAATGTTTCCAACAAATGAATTTCTGACCAATAACGTTAAACAACGAATTTTCACGTTATATTCAGAACGTATTCTAAACGTTCCGAATTTTTGCATGCATATCCGTATACATTAATAAAGCAATGCGTAAAATTAAGAACAAATATTAATGGAAGCCAAAAATTAATCGGAACTCATGCCGGATAACGAAATGATAATAAAATAAAATGTACCGAGAACGATAATCCCGGGTGCATAGGGAACGTGTGACGTATGTTATTACATACGTTGGCGTAAAAAAAATCGCCGCAAAGTTCAGCGCGCCGAGCATAGCTAAAGTCTTTATTTCCGTCGAGAATCTATTTCTGGAAAGACTCGAGTTCTACGAACGACGATATAAATCTTGATAATCGTCATGAAAGTTCCTCATCGATAAAACGCCAACGCCGCTCATCGCAATGTGCATCAGCGAGAAACCAGAATTTAGCTCACGGAGATTAACAAGTTCACCGATATAAATAATTAAATATTAACTGCTAAGTATTATATACGTATACGATTAATCGTGACAAATGATGTCAACAAAATTCCTGAACCTTTTCAGCCAAACGCTGCATTATTAAATTATCTTGCATGTTTATATATTTAATATTATACATATATAGTGTATGTATATAATAATGTATATATTAATACATATTTGTACATTTCGTAATATCTCGAAAATAAATTATATTTTATATATAGAAAATCGAATTTTATATATAGAGATGCTTGCTTGCTTGCTTTGAAAAGTATATATGTGTTATATAAAATTGATGAGCTCGTGGCATTGATAGTGACGTTAACGATCGCATGTGGATCTCGTCAACCTTATAGACATTCATATATATACATCTGTATAAAAGAAAACGTGCAACACTCACCTGGTGGAATGATCGACGAACGAACCGCCGTCCAAGAGCCTCAGCTTGGCAAAGAGCACAGCACTGACAAACGGCACCGCCGTGAGCTCTTCGAGGTCGACCTCCACCGAGAATTTGTACTTCTTCTTCTTCATCATGAAGGCCATCTCACCCCTGAGGCCGGGGCACTTTGAATCCTGTTGCGTGTAACGTGCCGAATATCTAGCGAGGATCTCGAAAACTGTCTGACCACCGTGACTTCCAACGTGATTTCACGTGAGTCCCCGAGAGACCTTGACTCCGATTCAGCGGGTGGTACTCTCGGTCTACGGATACATTCGCGACTTCCGGTTCGTTCGTATATATTTATATATATATATATATATATCACTTCACGCACTTATTTCGGTCCCATCGTCTCGAGTTTCGCGCCCGCGAGAAGATTCATTTTCGAACTTTTCAATTATATCGGAAAATAGTGGATCGAAAGAGAGAGGTAGCCTGTGTGTGTGTGTGTGTGTGTGTGTGTGTGTGTGTATGAAATCCTTCTTCTCGACGGAGATTTGTATCCTGTATTTTCACCGCCGTTTTTTCACTGCAAATTTTTTCCCGCGCGAGGAATTTCGTCTCAAGAGCAACTTCGACGACTTCGTGGTGATCCCGCTTCGCGGATGCTTCATCGACGTGACTTCTGTCGCTTCTCTACGCTTCTTTGTCGACCTCGCGTCGAGATTCAATAGGAAGAAGTACAACCAACATACTTGAGCGCTACTTTGCTTCTCCGGAACTGTAAACAAAATTTCGAAATTGTATTGCGCGTTGGTGGAAAAATCGTGAGAGAAAGGCAAAAAGCGAGACTGCGATTTAACGTGGCGAAAAAGGAAAACGCATTCGCGCAATTCACTTGTTGAGCAAAAACTAACGGACGAACAACGGGGCACGAGAAAAATTCATTAAAAACTCATAATTAAAAGTATAATTAATCCCCATCAATAGCTATCATTTGGTAAATGAGAAAATTACAAGTTGAGTTTGCTTTATATTTCCGCATAATAATTTAAAACTTTTTTTTCTTTAAAATATTGATACTTAAAATATAGCTTTTGCATTGATATAATAATAATAATATAATAAATAATAATAAATAACAAACAATGATAATATGATATTTGTAAATCGTATACGAAACGAGTCCATATATTTATATTTTAAAATATCTTTATTTCTGTTACTTTGTCACCCCCTTGAAATTAAACGCATAAAATTTATTTACAAAAATAATTATTCAATTATTTGAGAATAATGAAATATTAAAGATATGGAAATTTCAGAAAATGAAACTGAACTTGAATATACAATAATGTACATGTATGATATATTAAAGATATGGAAGTATTAAAGATATGGAAATTTCAGAAAATGAAAATGGACTTGAATATACAATAATGTATAATACATGTATGACAATAATAATACGATAAATTCTTGCATTGTGAATTTTTTAAAACATGGCCGAGAGTTGGATTCATGTATATTTTAACACTGCAATATATTTCTGAACTGTCGCGGCCTCAAATCAAATAAACATGTGCATTGCAAAATTAAATATCATCGAGTGCTACGAGATCAGAACATAAAAAAAAATAATTAATTATTGTGATTACAAGAACGGTTCGCAAAAATCCTATCATCTATTCAAAAACAAACATCGATAGCTATTTCTTTCTCTCCCTTTAATTCTCTTTCTCTTCCTCATCGTCTGCGAAACGTTATCTTTCAAGTAAAGAAGCCGTCGAGATAACACCATTTTATCAGCATTTTTTTATATCTTCTGTTGTTATCTACAAGTTTTTTAATAACGTGATTTTAATGCATTTTTAAATGTATTGTGTTTCTGTTAATAAAATAAGACATTACAAAAAAATATTTATTTTCTTTTAAATATAATAATGATTAAAATCATGTATTGGAAGTCGCAAACGCATGAGAGACAAAGCTTTTATTCCGTAATTTTCAAATAATTAATTCACTATTTAAGTTCATCATTCGTTATTTTTTCTTGCATTACGACTGACCTAATAATTTGCGAATCGTGTCAATTTGTCGTGTCATGAAAAACACAGGAAGGCAAATACAAACTGCATGGCGCTAAGTAGAGAAACTGACGTTTCAAAAATGCTAATTGCGCTCGGAAATATGCAAATGAATTTCCGCGAATACTCGTGCGCTTCCTGGAATCGAGTTTCGGAACGTAAACTAGGTGAGCATGACGCATCCCGATGTGACATACCAGCGATTAATGCAAGTTTAGAGCAGATATAGTTCTGGTCATCCGAAAAAATATGCAAAAAAAACAATAACAATAATAAATACGAAAGCGTTTGATTGCGCGAGACATTAAATTATAAATTTAAGTCGCCGAAGAAGGAGAACAACGTAAAAATTGCAAAGAGATCAACGAGAGAGCGATAAAAATATTTGATAAGCCCCGTTTATTCGTGTGACGTAGCAGGAAAATTTAATGTTTTCACCAAACGTTCCAAAAATAAACTTCTCATCGCTGGTTCAAAATTTATAACAGGGAAAGCGGAATACATGTTTCAACTTTGTAACATAATTTTCTAACATAATTATGTAATTATATAAATGTACTTAATATATTATGTACGAGTGATATAATTATATTTAAATAAACTGTATAAAAATTGTTTTCTCTTTATTCATTTAGATATTGTGAATTAAAGAAAGAGCCTTTGTGCTTTATCGAATTTTATTTTATAAAGGTTTACAATTACAAGGAGACATATATTAAAAATTAACTGCGTTGAAAGAGAATAACTGACGCGAAAATTTTATAAAAACAATTTGGCTCCAAATTGAATAAAAAATTCATTAGTCATGCTCAAAAGTAGCACGATTATATTAGACATTAAAAACACAATTAAGATAAATAACACAGTGACACCTATTATGTATTTTAAATTACAACTTTTCATGGTTCACTTACCCTCTCAATTGAAAATATGATATTCTATAAAATAAATCATATTTAATACTGTTTTCGAAATAAATTTTTTTTTCGCAAAACTTTTATTTAAAAATTTATTTGGAAAAGTTTTCAATCTTTATTGTCATTAAGTCATTATTTCCCCTCGACTGCGTTCCAAAAGTTAAGAGGATACCTATTGATGACGGATTATCCGGATCATTGAATGTCATTGAGGTCGATTCTACTCGACAATCTCTCTGGTCCGACTTTCGGACGAAGAATAATCACAAGGTAAGAACAATCGAGAGAGGTATCTAATCCGCCATCGACATAGGATTAATCCGCGGAATTAATCTCTCCACGCCGAAATAAAACGAACCATAATCTCGTACATTTACCCGGACATTTTTTCACCCCAAAACAGAACAAAAAAAATTTCTTTCCTCATTTACACAATATAAATATATAAAATCGAGAGGGTCAAAAATACGAGAAATATTTAGTCGCCAAAATTTCCTTATGGTCGCCCATACACCCAACGTAGATGGTGCTCGACCTAACCTAGAATGCTCAATCGCAGTCTCTCGCAGATGCAGGTTGCACACGCGATGCCTCGTGAAAGTGGCACAGCGGAGGAACAAGGGGCGACGAGATAAGATTCGACGTTTCATTGCTCCCGATCTGTCATCTGTCAGACGCCAGCTGACAGATCGGCAGCGCTCAGACGCTGACAGGACACCGTCCTTTCGCGCGCTCATCCATTCGGGAAGAGCCGCCAGATTGCATATGAGATTGCGATCGATCCCCGAGTGGGGACTCCGGAATTAAAGGCGACGCGACGTGACGTGACGAAGGAAGCGCGTATTCGCGATCGAAGGGGATCCTCGACAGAGAGAGAGAAGTTAGCTGCAGAAGCCCTCCTGGATCCTCGCGATTAACCTCTCTTTCTCGCGCGTCTCTCGGCGCCGCCCGCTTCGCAATTTTCTAGATTTTATTCTAGATCGATCCTCCGGAGGTTGCTCTCCTCCGAAGCCGATCCTACGATCTCTCGGAATCGAGGGAAGAACGACGCGATCCGGAAAATCCGGACGGACTCCGTCTCTCGCGATGGCAGGTGCGATTTTATAACCTCTCGGACGCTAACGATTTTTCTCACGCGTACTTAACCTCGAACGTGGACTTGGGATTATCGATTCGAGTTTCCGATTCACGAGAAGAGATAAAACTCTTACTTACGTGTACTCGTCGTAGGGTCCTGGTCGATTTCACGATTATTCTCACACTTCACGATTTCACACAGGCGTCTGTCTCTTCGCAGGCGAGCTTCGTCGCGCAACGTCGTCCACACGTAGACGATCACTATAAACTACCGCGGTGACGACGAGGGCGACGATGACGACGGCGACGACGGCGATGAAGACGCGAGAAATGCCCGAGAGTCCCGTGAAGGAGGCTGCGAACGCTTCGTCACGTCCGACGTAACGGAGCCAAACGGAGCTCGTCTGGCTCGCCTACGAACTGAACCGAACTGCACGAACCGTGTTGTGATACGGGCCGAGTTTCTCGCGCATGCGCGGCGAGCGCCATCTCAGTGAAGCGCCTAGTTCGAGGGAAAAGGGGCGCCATTGGTGCCCTCGGAGTCTATATGTGGCGTGAAGTTGTTTCAAGTGTATATATTCGAGACGTGAGGTTCGTCTCTAAATATTCTCTTATATATCATGACTGTTCGAGAATAATGAATAATTTTAAAAATAATAATATTAATTAATTAATTAATTCGAAAAAAGAATAATGAATAGTAAAATAATTTTAATAATAATGAAATAATATGAAGCGATAATAAAATAATTGTATTTAGTGCGATTCGTCTCTAAATAATATTCTCTTATATATCATGACTGTTCAAGAAGCGAGTAATTTAAGGAATAATATATTAAACAATTATAATTCGAAAAAAAGAATAATAAATAATAAAATAATTTTGACAATAATGAAATAATATAATTGTATTTGATTTCGAAATATTGATAAATAATAATAATATACTGTTTCTCGAACGCTCACAAACACGTTTGTAATCTCGACAAAATTATCGATAATTTTTTATAAATAAATACAAATATAAATCGATGAACGAAATAGATATGTATGCAGATGTAAATAAATTTAATAATTATTTTAAGCTCTTAGCTTAATTTCTGACCTCGTTTTTCGCCACAAATTCTTAAATCCATATAGCATCTCGCACGACGTATATACGTCGCTGCACTGATTGACGCCATCGAGTAGCAAGTGTAGAAAGATCGGGTCAAATCGCGTCGAATTTTGTGCGTATGCGTGAATGACGTCATTGCCCACGTGATCATCTTTAGCACATTCGTGCTTAAATGCAATATAAAAGTTAAATGCTGAATTTTCTATTATACTTATATACGTTTTAGTATATTTTATGCTATATAAAGTATAAACTATATATGATACGTTGAGCACTATATTAATTATTTATATACGATGTCTTAAAAATAAAATTAAAAATTTTACACAAGCTTATTGTACCTTTTATATTGATTACAAGTCCTTATTTTTGAAACAGAATTCTTATTTTCAATGATTGGAACGAATAAACAAATAATATGTATATTATTCTTATCTCTATAATTATTCTTTTCTTTCTTGAATGAGGGATATATTCTTATTATACCAAAATATGCTTGAGGCCTGTTGATGCTTGCGCGAATTTGTCACATGATCTTTCCCTGATCGCACATGCGCGAATAATTACGTCACGAATTGGGCGCGACTCGACTACCTAAAATTGACTGACGATATCTTTGCGCCATCTTTTGAGTGTTTTCGAAGTTGAAAGAGTGTTTTTGATTGGTCGTGAGCTTAGACGCCATATTGTTGACACTTTTACAAATACGAATGGAGCACTATATATTTTTATAAACGAAAGTATAAATAAAATGTTTAAAAATGAGAATAATTAAAAAATAAAAAATATAATATGAAATTACGCATTATATAATAATATTTATAATGATCTATATATCGTGAAAATAACGTTTATATTATTACGTAATATAATAATAAAAATATTAAATATTTCAATAATATATGTAGAAATAATATTAAAATCTGTTTAAGAACAATTTAGAATAAAAATTACATAATATATTTATTAATTACATAATATAAATAATTTTCTACTGCTGAAAAAAATCATTTAATTATGTATGCTAAATATTTTAACATACATATATTCATTTATTTCTTATATACAATATTTCGCAGATTGCATGATAAAAGATAATTAACCTATGTTGTTGCAAAAATCTATTAACCAAGTTTTTATTCGTGACAATAAAACGGTTGTGTAACGATATTGATTAAAGCGAGGAAGGAGTATATTCAAGGACATCGTGTTTGATGCGAAAAGTATTTAGAGATTTCGATTCGTAAATTCAATCTCAATATATATATATACAATATAAAATATGATAGCCCAACCTAGAAAGAGCGTAACAAAAATGATACCTTCCGCGATATAAGCCTATAGAATTTGATATCATAAAGATAAAGAAGATAATACATCTTTTGTGCTAATCAACATAGTTAATAGTCAATTATGAAGGATCAAAAGATTTTAATGTAAATCGAAATAATTAAAAAGTAAATATTTATATCACATATATATATATATATATATTCGCCTTATGCCTACGTAAAATACATATTATTATTATTAATTATTATCTCGACAAATGTCAAACGTCATATCTGAAGTGTCAAATCCGAGTGAAAATTGCGGGATCGAAAAATAAAAAAAATAATTCTTTGCTATCGAAGACACACCGAAATACACCTGACATCCGACATCGAGAGCGAAGTATCGATGCAATATCGAAAAGGAGGGGGAGTATCGCTGGGTTATCCCTACCAAGGAGCTTTACTGGGTGGTGGATGCTCGCGCGAATGGCCGACCCCCGTCGTCGTTGTTTCTGTCAAGCGCGCTGTCAATCGTCGTCGGGATACGAGAAGATCATTATGTAAATGCCCGAAGCGGAAGCCGTGACGCGCCGCGCTGAACCTTCCTGGCCCGAAACGTCATCGCGGCGATCCCCGGTGAAGACGCGCGCGAAGGACGCGAGAAGTCGCGTGCAGCAGGCACGCAACACGCGGTTGTCACATCGTGGAACGATCTCCGGGGGCCGACCACGCCGTGAGAAGGTGATCCCCGGGATACTCTCTCTCTCGCGGGTCGGGAATTAGGAGGACGCCGAGAAGCAGGATATCGCGGACGAGATATCGTCATCGCTTGAAATACGCCCGGGAATCACGGGACGATAAAACGGGCGGATGCCGTCGAATTCGTCGCACGGTGATGCCATCGGCGCCGCGAACTCGTTCTCCAGCGCATCGCGTCGAGTCGTCTTCGTGTCCTCGTTCTAATGGCTCGTGCTGATGCGACGCGAGGGTGACGTCGCCGAGAAAGGAGAGACGGAATTTCTCCCTTGATACGTAAATACAGCCGTTTCTCCTCTGGACGAAACACTGGTTTTCGAGACAGAGAAACATTCACGGAAGATTACGCTGAGAAAAAAAAAAAAAATACGCACAGAGCCACTTGTGTTCCTGAGGGGAAAGTAGTCTTGTACGTGTTTACTATCATTGTGTCGGAGAGTAATGTTTGTAAATATGGGGCCTTCCTAGTTTCCATGTAGAATATAAGTTCTTTATATAACTCAACTTGACATAATTATGATGATAGTTGTATGCAGAGAGAGGGTTTACATATTCAAAATTTGTATTAGGTGTTTCGTTGAAAGATTATAGACGTTTCAAGATATATCGGACAATTTTTGTTGATAAAATATTATGTACAATTAAGTGCACGTATTAAAAAAGAATGGAGGCTGCATATCTTTAAACATTGTTGGTTGTAGAAATAAAACAATGAATATTGACATTGCAGACTTAGTTATGGAGGATAGCATGAGTGTAAAATCCATGGAATCAGTGGCGACAAGCGATGAATATGAATTTGTGAATGAGAAAGGTACCAGCAAGCAGCAACAGGCTCTCTTGGAACCACCTATGCTAAAAATCGCCAATAACGGTAATCTGGAGGATTTGCAAAATAATCTCCGTGAGGTCTGTATATATTTATCAAACTTATCACAGCTATAATTAAGATAAACTTTAATCTACATTTATGATGCGATAAACGCTATAGATGAACATGACTAATTATGCTCTTTGTGTGACAATTACAGATTTTAACAGAGGACTCAAAGATGGAGAGTAGTGAATTCAGAGTGACAGGTACTGGACAACAGAATCAGGAAAAAACAAAAAGAGTAGGCCATAGTAAATTTTATGAAGTTACTTCTTGCGTTGTTGCATCAGAGAAGCAGGATATTATGAAACCCGAAGATTATCTTGAAGAAGGTAAGATATAAGAATATTTATTGCAAGAATGAATATAAGAATGGCAAACAAATTTCTAATTTAAATGTGTCTATGGTTCAGAATTAACTACATTATCACATGTTCAACAAGAATGTACTATTTTCAATGGTGTTACTTATCTGGGAGCAGCTGCAATAAATGCACCAAAATCAGAGTGTGAAATACAACGTAATATGAATATATTAAATGCAGAACAATCTTTGAATTTAGGAATAAAAGTTTCTGTCTCAGTGCCCAGTAGTTCACAAGGTTCAGTTATGTGAGTATACTTAAATTTATAACTATTATGTGAAAAATCAGGGGGTTATCTATTAAGATTATACAACAAATTAATCTATACTCTTAATTTTTCAGTTTATATGATGCCGCAACACAACAGGCTATTGCGCGTTACGAAGTGCAACGTATTTTATTTTATGCACGTGGCGAGAGTACTGGTCCATGTGCAGCATGTTTTGCTTTTACGTGGTCACACGGCGATACTTTAGAGTCTGCCATTTATCAATGCCATGTTTTTCGCTGTGACATCCCAGAAGCGGTATGTTTTTACCATATCATACATAAACATCTGATTATCATATAAAATTGTAACTTCTCATCTTAGTTATTTTTTTTACATTTTATCCAAATTATACAGTTGTATGTACATAGATAAATATATATATATGTATATATAAGATAATAATTTAATTTTTTTTAATTATTTTGTTTAGGTTGGTCAAGTGTCAGCCTGCTTTTCAAAAGCATTTCACAGAATACCACGTTCAATGACAAGTTCATTGACGGGTAGTGATTTCAATGGTTTCAATGCTGGTAGTGAAAAAGTTAATTCTAGAGTATTCATCTTCGAAGTCACTATGGAAATAAAAGAGGAAGATGGAAAGGGCGCTTTTAGTACAGTTCCTAAGGATAGGAATTGCTTTAAATTACGAAGTAATGTGGCGAAACAAGTTTGTTTGAGCATCCAGCAAGTGTCCAGTAAAGAAGGCGGAATTACGCTTGAAGTTGAGAGATGTTTCGGGGTGCTTGTTAGTCCTGGACGAAATGTTAAGCACAGTGATATGCGACTA